GCCCGTACAGATTCGTGCAGCGTGCACGGGCGTATTGGGCCGCTCCCGCGAAGGACAGGTGCTGCGTATGATTGCACGCATCAGCCTGTTCACTATGGGAGTACAAGGCCGTAAGCTCACCCGTGCGGGTGTCCGTACTCGTACACAGACAGGATGGATCCTGTGTGCGCCCGAGCACAGACACCCGCAAGGGTGTGCAGTTTGGGTGTGGGTACGGAGGCGGATTCCCATAGAGAACAGGCTGCTGGATGCAATTACACACAGCGCCTGCCCTTCCCGGAAGCAGCACGATACAGCCGTGCACGCCGCACGAATCTGTACAGGCCGGCTCTTAATAGTATGAATGAGGCCTAAACCTTTCATGAGATTCATCTGTGGCTGCACTGACCTGATTTTGGCAGCTCTGTGGTTAAAATATGCCAGTAACAACCTTCTTTACATCTTCAAAATTTACTGAGATTATACAAACACTGAGAACTGTCGCACAGAAAATTTTAGCTCAAATGTTTTTGGTTTTTTTTTTGTCTTACAAATGCAATAATAAAAAAACAAAAACGAAAGACTCCTGAAAAAGCTTGGGTACATGTATGCAAAAATCATGCAATGAAGCAGAGGTCGTAAAAATTAAAGGGTGTTCAGGTGTACACCAAAAAAAAATTGGACCCCTTATTTTCAAGTCATTATTACCATTCTTCATGAACCTGCCCCATTAGGTTGAACAATAGAAACTATTTGTATTCTGAATATATTTGGAATACCTCATTTCCGGCATGGACACAGACTTATCAATGGTATGGGTCAGACCAACATTACTATTTGTCCAAAGAATAACAGTTCCATAAGCCCTTTACTTCTACCCAGGTAGGCTGATCTCTGACCTCTAGCTCTGCAAACAAAAATATATTTACGTCAATTAAATAGCTACGGGAAAGTATCTACCAATAGATTGAATAGTCAGAATGCATCCTTTCACTAGACAAAAGTTGTTTGAATGAATAATTGGATCCAATTTGAACAATAAAACTATATAGGGCGTCCTTTGTGTTCATTCAATTAGCTAGCTATAAGCCACTCCAGTAAGAAGAGGGACGGCTGCTGCCGAGACTCAGAACCCACACTGTGCCTGAAGGGAACATTCGTGCTTCTCCAATTCCTGATGTATAAACAGAGAAAATGAAATGATCCTTCTATTTACTGCAGATAGATGCCTTCCCAGAATCCCTTGCTCTGATATAACCCAGTGTCCGCATCGCAGGACATGAACCAAATCTGTCAAGGGCTAAAGGCAAGCATGTGGCCATTATTAAGAGAAAAAATTATCAATCCACTAGGCTCTGAACAATGATAATTCATAGAAAAAAAAGAATCTCCTGACATACAAAGAGAAAAGACTAAAAATAGCATAAATAACAGACTGAAAAAAGGAAGGATCGCTGCAACGGAATAGCACATTGGGGGCGACTGAAAATTCTTACATTGGGTATCTAAACAGCGCGCAGTTTTTATACCATCACACATCTCTATGGTTACAGGCTTCAGAACACTCCAGAAGGGACAGTAATCTCACAAATGTATTTCCAGGAGAGGCACTTAAGCAGAAATGTCTACAGCACCTGAGTACATTCTTGGCATTGCTGCCTTCTTAAAATCGCCAGTAGAAAGTGAAACGAATCGCTCACCTTTCCATGGGTGGACAGCCACAGCTAGAGAAAGTTGTATAGAGCCAGCAGAGTCACTACAAATTAGGAGTTCACACCTCGAAGTAACATGACAAATACATGAAGGTTTCTGAGCACAAGTTAACAAATTTGATGACCCTTTTGCTTTTTATCCTTGGAGAACTATGAGGAGTGCTTTTCACTCACCTCATAGTTCTAGCCGACCTGTGACAATGAGACGGTCACAGGTCGGCTCAGTAAATCGGGAGGCAAGCGAACACATACCGGCGTTCGCTCCCCTCTCGATCCTGTCACGGCTCTCTGCCGTGACAGGGGAGGGGCTGGATTCCCCCCTCCCCGCTCCGATAGCGCTGACTGGCGGAACGGACGGGGGAGGGGGCGGGTACAGCTGGCTCTGCCTCTAGGTAGGCACAGCCAGCTGTCAGTCACACAATTGTCGGGATCCGCTTCAGCGTCTTCGTATACTGTGGCGTCTCAGTATACCGGCGTTCGCTACAGCCCACGGTATACTGAGCCTAGGGTGACGGCAGGACACTAGTTTGTGTCCTCCCGTTACCCTGAGAACTATGGGGAAAAGCATTAACCCCATAGTTCTCCTTTAACAAGCATATCCTACACACACTGACAAATGGTCACACTTTATCACAGAGGAGAAAAATCATTTCTCAGCAGGCACAAAGTGATTTTTGGGAACCATTTATGTAAACCAAAATCAGTACATGGTGTAACAGATTGTATGTATGTATGGGCTGTCTAAAAGCTGCACCCTAAGCAGATACAAAAGACAAATGAATGCAGATCTGTAATCATTAATACATCCTGAATTTTACCGGCTATCAGCCCTTTGAAGAAGAGCTCTGACTAGGCAAAGCAGCAAATGAAGCCAATCAGCTGTAGTGCAAAAATCAAGCTGATAGAAAGAGCAACAGAGAGATGAGTGCATTAGTCTGCTGCTTCTCCATTCAATGCCCAGTCACAGGTTAGGGATATGGGGGAGACCAAAAAAATAGGTCTTCTGCCCTGCCAGACTGCGCTGTGTGGTAGAACTGTGTAAATCTAACAAATGGATGGCCAGAAATACACATCCTTTGGCAGGGAAACCATTGCCTTATCTGTATTTTGATGTGGATTGAGAAGTTTGCCTAGAGTTAAGCTTTGTTTCAGAACCCTTGGCAAAACAACATTCCAAAATAAATAAGCAATGTGAATAATCATTAACCAGTGTTGGAGGGGGGGAAACAAATAAAAAGGATGCTTACCGGTCTGTTGCAGGAAAGAAATAGGTCAAATACAGCCACCTGCCAATTCAAAGCACATATGTCAATTAGAAGGTCCCCCAGGCCAGAAGCAGCCTGCCACAAGACTTTCTTAGGTGCACCAGTACCAGGTTTGGTACCGGCAAGCAGGGTTTTTTTGTTTTTTTTACTAGCCAGCAGCCCTCCATGTTTCTCCTCAGCGACTCCCTCCTGGGCCGCAGGTTTCTGATTGCCAGCGTGTACCTCCTCGCAGCAGCTCATAGTAAGTCCCGCTGTGTGTATTCGGGACTGTGTGAGGGCACTACAATTGTCCTTGTTCATTTAATGTGCCCTCACACACAGGGGTGTCATATAATGGACATGGACTGCCGACACTTGCAGTGTCCTTATGCACAGGACAGTCATATCATCATTATATGACAGTCCTGGTATTCAGTGTGTGAGGGCACTACAAGTGTCAGCAGTCCCAGTCCATTATATGACACTTCGGTGTGTGAGGGAACATTAAATGGACAGGGACTGCTGACACTTGTAGTGCCCTCACCCCAGGACGGTCATATGATTAGCGGGCCCGATATTTGTACAGTGGCAAGTAAAAAGAAAGTACTGTTTTGTTAAGTGATATTAAAGTCTGGCCCCTGATTTTATGCACAACCCTCGGCATGACCCTTAGTAAGTTTGGATTTGACACACCATATTTAGGCCCCATTCACACCTAGGCGTATTGTAATATGCGCGTCTGTCACGCGTTTTTTTACCACGATTCGCGGTAAAAAAGTTGCGCGATTCCAAAGGCTACTTGGCAGTATCCAAATGGAAAACGGCACTACAAAACGGCCCAAAGTAGTCCAGGGACCTTTTCAGGCGTGGGCCGTTTTGTAGGGCGTTAGGGACGGGTGGAAATACGCCTAGGTGGGAACGAGGGCATTGACTACAATGCAATTTATTTTTTTGACCGTTTTGTAGAGCGTTCGTCGAGCGCAGGACGCGCTACGAAACGGTCAGGTGTGAACGCAGCCTTAAGGAGATAAAGGGATATTAAAGACAAAAGGTTTTAAGCCGTTTCAAATGCTGATGAAATCACTTACAATGGATGCTGGTCCTTGATGTTTAAAAGTTTTAGCTTTCTGCAGAATCAGCTGGTTCCCCGAGCACTGGCCCAGATATCCTGTTTCAGGGGTGGCTCCGTTTCCCTTGCAGGTACCTATGCAGCTACCCTTGTGCGTGCAAGTAAGCTGCATCTATCTCCACAAACACACAGGTATAGCGAAGTGCGCCACTATGCCCTCCATTTCTCTTTCCTCACTTCTACAAGCAAGTAGATGGAGAGCTGCTGGAGACTGCTCTGTCCCTTGCAAGCTTGTACTGGACAGGAAGTTAAGGGAAGCAGAGCTGAGAGAATTGGAGCCAGCTGTTTGGAAACATGATTACTATAAGTGCTTTGGCAAAAAATACTTTGCTGGGCAATGTACATTTGTTTGATCTGGATTCAGAAGCAGTCAGAGTTTGAGTTTAATGATACTTTAGCAGGGAGGCAGACAGAGGTAGGCCAGCCCCGGGCTTCCTCACAGTTGGGAACATACTAGTGGCTGGTCCCTGAATCCATTACTTTAAGTCACTGACCCTGGACAAAAATGGATCAAGTGAAGGCAGAATGAAGGTCTTTTAAACTTGTTGGAAGTCAGAGATGCAAAAGTTCTGAAGCTTAAAGATCAGCATTACTGCTAGACAACTAGAATGTTCATTAGGAATGGACAGCAATAGCTGTAGGGCTGCAAGCAACTAAATTGATTAATCGATAATGAGGATAGTTGTCAACTATTCTCATTATCAATTAGTGGGTTGGATCCCCTAGCTCTCTCTTCCAAGCAGTGGGCTGGTGCAATAGCCAGCCTACTATAGCAATTTGAAAATATCCAATAGCTGGCTGGCAATTGCACCAGCCCACTACCGGCTGTATTTACATTCAGCTGCGGAATCTTGCCACTGACAGCTGTCATTCCCTGGCTGAAGCTATTCAAGTGCCATGTGCTTGCAATACAATTATAACAAAAGAAAATGATAGAAAAGGGTGGGACAAAGTTTCAGTTTTGGCCTGACAAATTATTCTGCGGTATGCGAGTTGCAGTGCCTTTTATCGCAATGGCAACCCAAACGCGTCTCCCACCCACAGTGTGATCACCCACACTGGAACGCACTGTATCGCAATGCCGCGAGTTCCAGTGCAGTGCAATTGCAAAAAATTGTGCATGCAGCTTTATTCTGAAGTAAACTTTATGTTTGTAACACTGCATATGTGTATTTTATTGTGAATTAAGGATGTGTATTTTATTGTGAATTAAGGATATGTATTTTATTGTGAATTAAGGATGTGTATTTTATTGTGAATTAAGGATATGTATTTTATTGTGAATTAAGGATGTGTATTTTATTGTGAATTAAGAATGTGTATTTTATTGTGAATTAAGGATGTGTATTTTATTGTGAATTAAGGATATGTATTTTATTGTGAATTAAGGATGTGTATTTTATTGTGAATTAAGGATGTTTATTTTATTGTGAATTAAGGATGGTATATTTTTTTTTTTATCCGGTTAATCGAAAAAATTAATTGGTCAACTGATTATAAAAATAATCATTAGTTGCAGCACTAAATAGCTGCTCTCACATTTCTCTCACCAGACGTTCCCTAAATTAGGATCAGAAATGATAAACCATTACAGTATTTATGTCGCCCTATGATGGTCATTTACACACTTGCGATGCTTTGATGTAACACATTAAATGAAGTAATGATTACAGCAACATTACTGTGTGTCTTCTTTGTCTGCCTAGAGTTGAGCTTGAACTTTCAGGCATCTGTCAGCCAACCACCAGTAACCACTGCTGCCACTTCTCAGCTGACTACTTTGGTATTGGTTATATAGTAGGTAGCTGCACTGTCAATGAGAAGATGCATATAGACATCTTTCAGGCTGCGGGACAGAAAGCAGCATATGAATTGCTCTTCCACTAAAAAGCATACAGATAAAAAAGGTGTTCAAGTAACCGTGTGTATGAACCCATTTGGCAGTTAACATGCATTCACTCCATAGCGGCAAAATAAATGCTGCCTGTGGCACCTGCTTACTTTGAAGTGGCAGAATGGGTTCATTTTGCTGGCTGTCCACTGAGGGGCAACTTGTCCAAGTCCAAATGCCGATCACTATCCCACTGCATAGCCCTCCTTCCTTTCTCAGTTACATTAAAATGACATACGTGATCACAGTGCAAGCAGAGGCAATAAACAAGTACTCATAAGTGGTAAAGATGCAAGTTATAAATTGGTCTCCGCGCATTGCTTTTTTGCCATCATCTTCTATACTAGCTGACCCAATTCTAGCATACAGATAACACTGTGCAGTGTGATAATTGCAAATCTCTCAAAATAGTTTGGCTGCTATTTCACCAGTTTGTGTTCTCCAGCTATCTCCAGCTCAGCATGGTGTCATACATTTAAAATCAAGGTGAAGGAAAGGACGAGAAAAAACATCTTCTCTTGAATAGAAATCCATGAAATCTGTTACTTTGCATTTCACAGATGCAGACTGACATTCAACACAATTCACCATTAAAAAAATGGACAAACTGTCAGAGCCATATATAGTTCACCCATGGACACAATTCAATGAAGGGAAAACAAATAAAAAGGCGAGGTAGCCTGCTTAGTGTTTCATTTTGATCCTGGATATCTATACAGTGAATATAGCATCCCAGCTAAAATGATTGACAATGTGCAACCATATTGGCAATGCGCAAGCAGTGTGTTCCCCAGTTCTAAGGACCATCCTGTGAGGGAGGCTGCAATCCCACTATGGCATAATCAATATCTATGCCATAGTGCCATCAACTATTGTCAAATTCATATATTCAATATATGAATATGACAATAGGAATTATAATTAGGGGTTTGGCTCTGTTCAGAACTAACCAATCACATTCAATAAATTGCCGTCTGGAGACGGCAACCCGCAGATGCTGCAGTGCCGTCCGTCCGTTTTTTTACTACGGGCGGACGGCAAGAGGTTAATAGGACCCACCTGCCATCAATTAAAGTGATCCGATTAAGACCATATAAAAGTTCAGCTGTTCTAGTTAAATTTTTTCTGACATTTACTCAGTTGCCTTTTACCGCAAAAGCCATGGTCCACAAAGCTTACAAAAAGCATTAAAGAGATATTATTGTTGGAAGGTATCAGTCAGGAGAAGGGTACAAAAAAATGTTCAAGACATTAAATTAACCATGGAACACAGTGAAGACGGTCATCAACAAGTGGAGAAGGGATGGAACAGTGACATTACCAAGAACTGTAGGTTACTCCAAAATTGACGGAAAAAAATAAATAAAGAAAAGGAAACTGGTCTGGGGGGCTGCCAAGAGGCATACAGCAACATTAAAGGAACTGCAGGAATTTCTGGCAAGTACTGGTTGTGTACCACATGTAACAATCTCCCATGTTCTTCTTTGAACACCAGTCAGCTACTGAGGTGATGTATGTAACTATGAAGACAAAAAAGGAACAGGACTACACAATACAGTCATCGTGTACACTGCAAATGCACTGGACGGGCCCTTGATGTAAGCACACCGTAATCATTTACCTCTGATCTTATTCCTTTGTTTTAGTAAACCAAGCCTATTGTGCACTGACACAAGGACCAAAGAACTGTCTGAACATCTCATTACAAAAGGTTCAGTCACTGGTAGCTGTCCATTCCGTGGTAACACCACAATGTTGCTTACATCAATGCAGCACTTTTCTATATCTTCATACGATTGAAGGGATCAAGCAATTGCTTTCATAGTTAAACAGAGAACACCAACCAAATACATTTCATAATGCATTACAAGCTCGGTTTTCCCCGGAAGTAAAGGTTTTAAACTACAGAATTCTCTAAGAGAGGCTGGTTACAAGTGAAGTCTAAATTTAGCAGTGAGATGGAATCAACTGGTAAGCAGGAATTTCATTTTCATATAGCCACTTCCAAGCTGGCAGGCTTGTGGTATCTGAACAGATCTCCCCTAACACCAAAGGATGAGAAAAAGCATCACTTGCTAAAACTAATCAAGCATTCTAAAAATCCCTGAATATTTTTTTGCAAACACACAACTATCTTAGTAAAGTGGAAGATGGAGCTGGTAATGGAAAACAAGAGTCACACAACATAAATCCTCTATTTAAAATATACCTGCACCTTTTTTAAAGTGTATGGTTTTCCAGCTATCTTGAAGTTTGCATGTTAATATTGCCCACTTACATACCACTGTTTTGTGCCTTCTTGCTTTTAGTCTTTTACTATTTGTCCCACGCTTACTGTTTGTTTGTTATTCTGTGTGTTTACTGAAAATGAATAAAAATCTATTGAACAGAAAATATACCTGCGCCTCCGACAAAGCTGAGGTATGTGTGCTTCTGAACAGGACTTACTACTGACTGCCAGACATAAGACAACAATGCCCCTTGGGGCTCACACATCCTCATAATAGCAAGCAATGCACCATGCACCATTCCACATATGTCTTGCAAGAATCATAAACATGATGATCAGCATGCAACAGAACTTCCTTCTCATGGCAACACAAGACCCTCAAATAGCTAGGTGTTTCCCACGACATTTAGTCAAATGACCAGCACAATCTCAAATCACAAGCCACTATTAACCTCCCTGGCGGTCTGATTATCTCATTATTTTTTTCTATTTTTTACTTTTGAATTTCCTGCCGGTTCCACCCCGAGGCCCGGGCGCTCGCAAGGCAAGGAACCCGGCATCGGCCGAGGACACAGCGGGGCTCGTAGGGACAAGGTATGAGGAAGAATGAGTTTGCCCCATATTGAGCGTTATTATAAGCAGTCCCTGCTTATTAGGCACCCACCCTGGATATTTAATGCTCCACACAAACATTATTCAAGGCTATAACAAAGCTGTTACAACATTAAAGATAAACAGTTTGCAGTCAATTTTTTAAAATTACTTTACACACAGAACAGTTTTTGTTCCTGGGTTTAGATATGCTTTTTTTCCCCCAATTGATTTCCAAAGCACCAGGGGATAGCTAAGACAGCACAGCAAAGACTGCCAGCTTGTAGGCTACATTTGTCGAAGTGAAACCTGAGAGAACAAGGGATGGCTCATTGCAAGGAGTCCTTGGTTTCTGTTTGTAAATATCAGCTCGATTTTCTCAAAAGAAGTCTTTCATTTTTCTTTTAATAAAAGGAGTTATCCAGTCACAGAACGAGTGTAAATCAGGGGTGGACAACTTAATATGGAATTTAGTAGCCAGTCTATCCAAGCCAGGAGTCAGTTCCATTGGCAACAACTAGAAAAAGAACTCCAAACTTAGGCTCCAGCCCTCATTTTTAAGGAGCGTTGGCTACCTGGTTTCTAGGCTTTGTCTAGCCCTGGTGTACATCTCCCCAATGCATTCACTTACTTTGGAGCCAGAAGGCCCAGAAAGGTGTGTTGGGGGGTAAAATCCTAAACCGTTTTTTTTTAAAGGAGACTCAGCTCTGGAAAAAGAGTCCAGTGATGTGCTACTATACTAACAAAGTTGCAAACTTGATAGGACCTTCATGTTAGAGGGATAGCAGCCATGTATCAATGACAGAGCCAGATTGTCTTGGTGTACTCCAATCATTTTGGAATGGTAACCTGCTGTACAATCTCTTAAGAGAACTATGAGGTTAGGGCTTTTCCCCATAGTTCTCCTTAGGGTAATGGGAGGACAAAAACTAGCGTCCTCCCGTCACCCTAAGCTCAGTATACCACGAGCTACAGCTTGCGGTATACTGAGACGCCGCAGCTGAAGCGGATCCCGACAATTATGTCTGGATTCGTCCAGCTGCGTGAGTGACAGCTGGCTCTGCCTATCTAGAGGCAGAGCCGGCTGTCATGCTCCCTCCCCCGTCCGTTCCGCCAGTCAGCGCTGTAGGATCGGAGTGGGGAGGGGGGAATCCAGCCCCTCCCCTGTCACGGCAGAGAGCCGTGACAGGATCGAGAAGTGAGCGAACGCCGGTATGTGTTCGCTCACTTCCCGATCTACTGAGCCGACCTGTGACAGTCTCGTTGTCACAGGTCGGCTAGAACTATGAGGTGAGTGAAAGCACTCACCTCATAGTTCTCCTTTAAAGAACCTGCTTTAGTGGGGGGAAAAAAAAAAGGTTGCATTTCTTTCCGGTGACAGATTTTTTTTCTAGGCAACTTAAAAATAGCAGTACTTGGCAGTCGCAAAGTATTTTTCATCAGGAAGCTGAATTAGCACTATAAGTCAGGCTGTATAAATGTGTCAGCTACAAAGAACGTTAGACTTTTTATACACGTGCCCTCTGTCAGGCCATCATTCTGCCCCGACTAGCTCCTCAACTCCCAAGCAGCAATTGGGCTCATAATGTGCCCTGCTTGTGAAAGACGCTGCAGGCAAAGAACTGGAGAGCCTCCAAGGTATTTCTTACAACCTGCTCTGGTGGGACTAGAGCAGAGCTTAATTAAATCAGGAAGACTATGTGGATACGGAACACAGTTTAAACACAAAGAAGGTGGTAACTAAAATATGGAGTAATAAGGAGCACGTAAGACAAATAATCACTACAATCTTCGCTGCTAGAGAAAAACGACATTGGAATTTATAACCAAATGTACTGCAAAGTATATACTCGGCGGGTTTTCCAGCCTGCTTGTTCGACGGAAGACGTGAGACCGTACAGTAGAAACGGTCACACGCCTTCCATACACTGCACAATTCTCGTACAATCTCAGGATTTCCCGCGATTCTCATACGAGAATCGTGCAGTGTATGGGCACTTTTAAGGTGCCCATACACCTGCCGATCATACGATAAATGCGGGTGATCCCGCGATCGTACGATAATCGGCAGGTGTATGGAAGGCGTGCAACCTCTTCTACTGTAGAGTTGCACCACATTCGTCTTCCGGGCACGCTTGAAAACCTGCCGAAAATCGTCCGATTTTCGGCGGGTTAGTGGCGTGCTCGGGAGACGAATGCCGCACGGGCCGGTGTGCGCAAGCGCACACTGCCTGCTCAGCATTGCAATAATCAGAAGCCCCCAGATGGGCAGATCGTACAAAATTTGAGTTACCTTACAACCATCGCACAACGAAAGTCGTGCGATAGTTGTAAGGTGTATGGCTAGGTGTACTAGATCCAGAAATGACATTACATAAACTTTTCCTATAAGTCAAGCTCGCCACTACTCTTACAACTGGTCACCAATTACCAAGCAGGCATCAGGAGCAATAAAGAGAACTGGGAAGGGCAGTGCCAAGCTGGACAGAATAAGCATATGCAACTTAAAAGGATGAATGAGAAAACTTTTAGGGTCCATTCACAGCAAGTCCATGTGTTAATTGTACAGTTCTGTCCAATTAGCGCACGGTACTGGGTAACGCTCGACTCTGCGTTAACATTTCGGGCGGTGTGTTGACCTTCATTTTGAAGGCACCCCAAACACACCGTGCTCGACTGCGCCAAAATAAGTGGTACCGCACAACTGTGCATGCACTATTCTTTTCAACCACACCAAAATGCATGGCATTGTGGTTCTGCGCGTTTGATATTGTGGGCGGGAGGTGTATTTGGGGTGCCATTCAAATGAATGGTAACGCAATACATCTCCTGCACTGTTAACGCACGGTACTGAGTGATTAACACGTGCTTGGTGTAAACGGGCCCTAAGTGTATGGCCTAGCAAGCATGCTCAGTAAGGACTTTCACACCAGGTGTGTTGGCGTTGTATTAACAGCCTTGCCCCACGCAGTCCGAATGCAAAGACGACAATTTGACGTGTTTTTGTATTGGCCGTTCACCGCTGTACTAAGAAAAGTACAGGCTGAACGAGAAAAAAAATGCTCCAGTCCGATTAGCATGGATGGGGGAATTTTCCCTACTAGGTATTCAGCTGCAGTCACTGTTCGTGCATTCTCACAGTGGCGGGTGAAGAGATGAAGGGGAGAGAAAGAAAAGGAGAACACAAGCTAGAGAGGACAAGAGAGAGGAGACCTTACATCTAGTTTTAGAGTGCGGAGAGCTTAGAACCTGTCTGGTTTTTATTTAAATTCAGATTTCCCCTTATTTCCTATTATGGTGACAACAGTTTAACCAGGCAGAAAATAAAGGAAATACAATTCTAACAGAGTTTCCTTCCCCTATTCAAATCAAGAAAAGCATTTTTATTTCTCTCTGCGTTGCAAAGTTCACTTCCTACCTGTAAAACCTTGGAATCAGGACAAGAAGTGAGGGCAAATCTCTCCAACAGAGGCCTGGATAGCAGTAAAAACCTGGCACATTCCAACTGCTCCCTATTCTATCCAAAACTAAGAACTAAGAACATTTTCGGCTGCTCATACACTTAACCCTTTTATATATATATATTTATTTTTTTCTTTTTTTTAACCTTTACATTTTCTCACATATACACACAGTCCTAAAACCTCCTGCAT